GATAGATAGGAAGGATAGATAGGAAAGATAGATAGGAAGGATAGATAGGAAGGATAGATAGGAAGGATAGATAGGAAGGATAGATAGGATAGATAGGATAGATAGGATAGATAGGATAGATAGGATAGATAGGATAGATAGGATAGATAGGATAGATAGGATAGATAGGATAGATAGGATAGATAGGATAGATAGGAGAGATAGGAGAGATAGGAGAGATAGGATAGATAGGATAGATAGGATAGATAGGATAGATAGGATAGAGAGGATAGATAGGATAGATAGGATAGATAGGATAGATAGGATAGATAGGAGACATAGGAGACATAGGATAGATAGGATAGATAGGATAGATAGGATAGATAGGATAGAGAGGATAGAGAGGATAGAGAGGATAGATAGGATAGATAGGATAGATAGGATAGATAGGATAGATAGGATAGATAGGATAGATAGGATAGATAGGATAGATAGGATAGATAAGATAGATAGATAGATAGATAGATAGATAGATAGATAGATAGATAGATAGATAGATAGATAGATAGATAGATAGATAGATAGATAGGGTAACTAGATCAAAGAGAGAGAGAGAGAGAGATAGATAGATAGATAGATAGCTAGATAGATAGATAGATAGATAGATACATAGAAAATAGATAGGTAGGTAGGTAGATAGTCAGAGAAAGAGAGAGAAAGAGTGAGAGAGATCAAGCACCTTTCAGTCCATCAGTGGCTTCGCTCTGCCATCCCGGATTCACAACAACCAAGCTCTCCTATAAGTTTCCTATTTTTGAAACTTCCGCCACCGCCTTGTGCGGTACTACTGGTAGATCCATATGCCATCGTGTTCCCATCTTTGTTGGTTGCTATCCTGTAACCCAGGTATCCTGATATCCATGAATCTTATGAATCCATATCAATCAAGATTGAGTGATCATCACCTGCTATACCACATACCAATTCCTTTTTTAAAACTACTTGGTTATAATATCATATAACCCACAATTTGTTGATCAGTCACATCCCAGACAATCTTAAATAATTTCTAACCAATATGTCGCATTAGATGTTCCATATCATCGCTTGAATCCCAGCCAGTTCCACAATTGTCTGCTTATAAACCATTTTATCCCATAACTGTTACTGATCGTTTTGGGGTCCCCTTGCGATGTTCGGCCAGTTGTGGTTCGGCCTCGCTGCGGTGGCTGCTTCCCTGGTGGTGGCGCAAGTCATCTGGGGCGCTGCCACCAGTGACGCGGACCAGGACCTTGGGACGGTGGCTGAAGGCGATTTCACCGGTATATCATGGGGACATGGAATATGATAATTACGGGATATATATATAATTCCTGTTCACAGGGTGTTGAGCAGTGAGTGGAAGAACTTCTGTGGTGGCCGTCTTGACCTCAAGACTCTTGTAAAGCTGTTGGCTTATCATGGATGCCTCCCTGTTGACTGGGGCCACTATTTCGGTTGCTGTGGGATACCTTATTCGTAGTAGCTTGGGCGAAACCAAACCTGAGTGTCCCCCCTGTAACTGTGTGTGCCACTGGAAAACGGGATCAGCACCTGAGCCTAGCTCGTCCGGCTTTTCTTTCTGGATCGTTGGGGCCCTAGCTTTGGTTGTGGTGGTGATTCTCATCAGCAACTTTGCGTTGGTCTGCAAGATCACACTGCATGACGGCGGAGCGGGGGCAGACCGGGAGATCCAGATTAACGTCAAAGGGAAAAGTGGTAAGGGTGTTTACTCTGGACGTGGTTTGGCTATCACTGGCTAATGGCTTTCCTCCCCGGGCAGATCTTATATCACGACTATGGTGAGCATTCCAGGGTTGTACACACTCGAGTGGTATTAGGTCATATAGAGAACTTGGACTACATGATCAGAACCCCCGATGGAGACATGTATGTTGAGACCTGCGACCCCTCCAACATAGACCTGGTTGGCTTTTTTGTGGGAGCAGATGATGGGAGCACACCTGCCGGAGTGCCTGCAGCCTCTGTGTATGGGTTCCCCCCAATGAACCTGCAGCAGTTCAACGCCATCCTGGCAGAAGGCAGGGTGGAAGTGCAAGCTGAGTTGGCACGGCGTGGCATTGCAGCGCCAGTTGCTGCTCCTGCTGCTCTCAACTGGGTCCTAGCCGAGTACGTGCCGGGCCACAAGATTGGGGAGGAGGTACAAGTTGCTCCGGGTATGGTTCAGCAGGGTGACTATGGTTTACATGTGATGACTGATAGTGAGGGAACCAATAGGCCTGTTTTGGTTTGTCGGATTGCGCCAAATGACTTGGACAATTTCTGTGAGACACGAATTGGACTGGCTCGATTGAGTGAGGCAGCTGCAGGTTCTGATCGATATGCTGGGGAAGATGTGAGAACTTTGGAGGTCAAATATGGGGCCAGTGGGGAGAGACTTCGGTCGTTCAAAGACACTGTTCAGGAAATGATACAGGTTGAATACGACGATTTCCCTCTGGCCCCTCGCACAGCTCTTCCATATGTTCGAGCAATTGCTTCAGTATCAGAGTCTGCTTATGCGCAGCATCTTAGCTGGGTGGTCCAGTCAAAGATTCCGGATGGAGACCGGGCCATCCACGAGGATGAAGTATTGTCCCGTGTGTTGGACCTGGCAGTAACCTTTGACAGCTTGAACATTGCGAACCTTGCATCATTTGAGCTTCTGATCAGACGAAAGCAGTTGCTGGCCGAAGCTCATGCATACAATCCATCGTCACCATCATATGAAGGTGCAGATCATTTTCTTGGAACTTCATACCGACCGGGAGGAGCTATCATTGTGCCAGAGTTGGTTGATCATGTTGCTAAGAAACTGCAACAAGAGTCCCAGATCCTCAAAGAGAAGCGTAAACAGCAGGAAGCCAAGGGAGGCAAGAAGGGCAAAGGACGTGGTACAGCCCCCATCCCACCTGGAGGAAAGGGTGGTGGAGGCGGTGACAAGTAGATCTACAAGTTTGGGGTGGCTTTGCTGGCTGGGCTGCCCTTGCGACTTTCTGAGCCAGCCTACATCCTTGGGCCCATCTTGGTGATCATTTTTCCATTTTCATTTTTGTGGTTCACTCATGACGCGTGGGGCCCACAGTTCGATTTTTCATGAACCTTGCTCTGACGGTCGAAACCGGGACATTTTTCCCTTGCCACTTCTCAGTGAAGAGGCGCAGGAGCACAGCTTCGTGAGTCGATCTGTGAAGAGAAGGGTCCTGCGTAGGATCAAAATCTGCAGGCGAGTGAATCTGGCCATACAAGCTTTGAATTCGCTTTATTTTGGCAGTTCTGTGCCTAAGGTGGAGGAGGTCCATGACTTGAGTTCTCTGCCCATGGCCCAGCGCCTGTGCATTCAGGACATTGTGAAGAAGGTCTCAGCTTTTGGGGCCTGTCCGACTACTGCAAGCAGCTCAGGAGCCCTGCAGGCGCTCCGAGTAGCCGGTGGAGGTTATCAAGAGCCAGAAGCTGGCGTGGGTGAAGTTACCAATATGGTTTTGGAACTTTTATCGTTACCCAATGGTAATGTTGCGGGAGTGGATTTAGATAACTCCTTGGAAGGTCCCCTCAAAGACATGGTGGTTGACTTCGAAGGTTGGATGCTTCAGGATGCTTCTACTTGGAGTAAACTGTGTGATGAGGCTCATAAAATTCGTCCGTATGATGATCCCAGTCTGCGTAATCGTACCCAATATATCGCCTTCCTTAAGCATCTCAAACAGAGTGGGATATTGGGGCTCACCAATAAGTGCCGTGGGCGTGTGGGAGCCTTCACGGTGACCAAGAAGGCAAAGATCATCGATGGAAAATCAGTTCAGAGACAGAGGCTGATTCTCGATTGCCGTCAGGTGAATCTGGCTTTCCGTGAGCCACCGCGGACAGAGCTGGGAAGCCTTGCGTCGTTGTGCGAGATTGAGCTCCCAGAAGGTGAGACGTTATTCTGCGGTGGGGCTGATATACAAGATTGTTTTTATGCAGCACGTACTTCTCCAGAGCTTTCCAACTACTTTTGCCTGTCCCAAGATATTAGTTATTCAGAAGCTTTAGAGGTCTGGGGTGATGATTTCCCTTTTGGTGATCTACGCGGTTCTCTCTCTCCTTGCATTACGGTGCTGCCTATGGGTTATAGTTGGTCCTTCTTTCTGATTCAGAAACTCCATGAGCAATCCACACTTAGGGCATTGAAAGCAGATCGAAGCCGATTGATTTTGGAGGGCTATCCAGCTCCTGAACTTTCTAGGGACGCAGCTTGTGCGATGCCTTATTGTGATAATTTGCATTCTATTTCGTTATCCCGTGAAGCTTGTGATGCAGGTTTGGATGCCATGAAGTATGACCTCAGTCAGATGGGATTCTTACTCCACGAGGAATCCAGTGCAAGTGATTACTTTCAAACATTGGGTGGAGTGGTGGACGGCAAGCAGGGTATAGTGAGATTGACCCCAACAAGATCCTGGAATATCCTCTTGGCTTTTGAAACTTTGTTGAAAGGTAAAGTACGTTGGGATACCGTTAGAAGGTTGCTAGGACATGCGGTCACCATCTGCGTGCTGAACCGCTCTGGAATGTCAATTTTTCGTGCTCTATATGATTTTGTAGAGTCCCAAGCAGATCCACGACCTCTAAATCGACGAGAGCGACAAGAAGTAAGTATTTTCATTGGGCTTATTCCTCTACTGGTAGGTGATCTTAGACGAGGTTGGAGTGAGTCTATTCTTTGCACGGATGCAAGCCCCCACGGTTACGGTGTTTGTCAGCGTGAAATCAAGCAACAACAAGTGCGGGAAGTGGGCCGCTGGCAGGACAAGTGGAGATTTCGCCACCTTGACCCTGCTGAGTGGAGACCACGACAGCGCGCTGCAGGACTTAGCGGGCTGGCAGACTGGGAGACTGTTTTGGGGATGATGGAGGTAGACAGCATTGATGATCTCTATACATATAATGGCTATTTCCCAGAAGTTCCTCATGATTGGACTGAACCATCTCAGTGGAGAACACAACTCATGGGGCGGTGGCGGGATACTTCACAGCATATCACTGCAAAAGAGGGTCAAGCTTTGGTTTTGGCGGTTAGGCACCTCAGCAGAGCAGCACACAATAGGGGCAAACGTCATTTGGTTCTGGTGGATAGTTTTTCTCTCAGTATGGCTATGTGCAAGGGTCGTGCCTGTAGCTTTGAACTTTTACGTACAACTCAAAAAGTTGCAGCACTCAGCTTGGCATGTAACTTCACTATCAGAACTAGATGGATTAGCTCTGAAGACAACGTAGCTGATGGTCCATCGCGCGGGCAGATCCGCCCGGGTGCTTATTGCGCCCCCTCATCAAGCAATCAACCCTTCAAGCAAAAGGTTGAAGCCCTTGGCAGTGGTGAAGCCCGCCAAACAGAGTGGGAAAGTGGCTACCCGGGTTCTCACCAGGGGCTCAGTCGAAGCTGCTGGGAAGAGAGCGCAGCCCATAGCCACCCAGAAGAGCCGAGTATTGAAGGGACAGACTTTGAAGCAGCCAACCACTCCGTCAACCAGAAGAGTCATAGCAAAGACCTCGGTGCTGAGCGCAGAAGCGCAGAATCTTGCAAAGGGCAACCACCTCAGTCGGCTGGAGAGAAGGTCAATATCGATTGCGGTGGAGAACCAGTATGCCAACTACTACATGAAATTCGTGAATTTCTGCCACGAGGTAGGGATGCAAGGGCCTCCGAAAGGGCCGGTCGACGCCATTTTGGCCGACTACATGGACCATCTCTTCCTGCAAGGAAAAGGAGTTCACGAAGGCGAGAAAACATTGGCCAGCTTGGAATTCCAACATATCCAGCTCAAGGGCAAGCTCGAGAGAGCCCGGCGAGCCCTCAGAGGATGGCGCAAGGAACGTCCGCCAGAATCCAGGATACCCATTCCAAAGTTCATAGCTTTTGGAGTGGCCATGACTATGATGAGCCGCGGAAAGCGGACCATGTGCCTGAAAGTGCTGCTGGACTTCGACACCTACATGAGACCCGGAGAGTCGTTGGACCTTCGAAAAAGGCATTTCATTCGCCCTGTCAAAGCAGCTGGCAGGCAGTATCAGTGGTTCTCCATCATAGTGAGAGATTACGACGACCTCCAGCCGGACAAGGTGGGGATTTTCGACAACTCGATTCCTCTGGACAGCCAAGAGCGAATGTGGCTGGGGGATGTGATGGATGCCCATGTGAAGACTTTGCCCAACAAGGAGAGCAAGATTTTCGAATTCAGCATGGAGGACTACAGGAAGGAGTTTGTGAAGGCAGCCAAGGCCTTGGGGTTGGAAGGGCTGCACCCTTACCAATTGCGCCACGGCGGAGCGGCCGAAGATCTCAGTGGACGCCATGGAGACCATCATGGAGTAAAAGCCAGAGGCCGATGGGCCACAGACCAGAGCGTCAGACGTTACACAAAAGTGGGCAAAGTGCAGCAGCTCCTGAACCAGTTGCCAGGAGGAGGGCTGGAGTACTGTCAATGGTGTCACAGGAACATGGAGAGAGTGCTCAGGGGCCAGACTCCAGCGCGAAGCATGTGAGTTGTCAGCAAGATGTTTTCCAGGAGGAAAGACTCCCACGTTTCTTTGGTTTGGAGATTTTTGCAGGTACAGCTAGAATCAGCGCCGCAATGTGCAAGCTAGGCATGCCCATGTATCCAATCGATATCTGTCTTTTTGAAGGTCATGATGTGTTGGACAAAGCTGTGGAACATCGTATTCTTAATTGGATCCGTTCTGGGCGAGTCCTATTTGTTTGGATTGGTATGCCTTGTACTTCATTTTCTCGAGCTCGAAAATTGGATGGACTGGGGCCTGGCCCTTTGCGTACTTCTGCATATCTCTGGGGGCTTCCATATCTTAGTGAACGTGATCGTAAGAAAGTACTCTCGGGTAACAACTTGCTGCTCTTCACTTTGCGCGTATTGAAAGTCTGCGAAGACATGCATGTGGCTTATGCTCTGGAGAATCCTCTTTCTAGCATGGCGTGGGAGATTGATCGAATGCAACGTTTTGTTGAGCATTTTTCCCCCTGTCAAGTTGTTTTGGATTTTTGCCAGTTTGGTGAAGCATGGAAGAAACCAACCCAGCTTCTGACCAAAGGTTGGGACTCAACTCCTCTTGCCAGAAGATGTCAGTCGGTTCTTGGCAAGTGCAGTCTAACGCATCGCCAACACATCCCCTTGCGAGGAGTTGACTACAGCGGCCTGTTTCTGACCTTGCGAGCCCAGCCGTATCCTTGGGCCTTGGCTGAACTGGTGGCTGCGCAGTTGCGGTCAACATGGCCAAACACCTAAATAGGGGATACGGGTGATGTTTTCCTTTTAAAGAAGAAGTAGGATGACACCCTGGCAATGTGCAAAATAACATGCACTCTATGCCAACTGTCAATTTCGAAACAACTAGAGCAACGCTCTGTCTGGCCAAAATGGGAAAGGGCTGCAGTGAGCGATTCATAATTCCTGTTCACAGGGTGTTGAGCAGTGAGTGGAAGAACTTCTGTGGTGGCCGTCTTGACCTCAAGACTCTTGTAAAGCTGCCATCCACCGCCCCGCCTACCACACTAAGGGGTGATGTTTTCCTTTTAAAGAAGAAGTAGGATGACACCCTGGCAATGTGCAAAATAACATGCACTCTATGCCAACTGTCAATTTCGAAACAACTAGAGCAACGCTCTGTCTGGCCAAAATGGGAAAGGGCTGCAGTGAGCGATTCATATATATATATATAACATGTTGAAACCAACATTATATGATATTTATATAAATCATATGTGAATTTTTCCAAGCATGTTTTTTGTATATACTCTATACTTCCAATACTTATGGCTATTTTCCATGGGGATACGTGATGAACCATCAAAATGCGGCGTAGCTGATTTTCAGCTAAAACCAGATGTTGCATGATTAAACTCATCGAATCTTTACATTTTTGGTATTTTATAGAGATTCTGATTCTGATTACGGCATTTCATAGTCAAACAGGGTCAACATAGAGAAACCCACATGGATCTCGGAGACGGTCAGATTTTGTCCGAAAAGGGGGTGGATCAAATCCACCAGTTGCCATTCGCGGAAACGCAGCAACATGCTACTGGTTCGAAACTATTGACCTCCGAACATGGATGGTTCAAATAATCCCAATGGCCAATTTTCTGGCTCTAGGCTCCATTTCGGATCCTAATTCACAGTTATATGTATATGACAGATATGTTTGGACCGGACATCCCAAGAGGAAGACGCCTTCGCGCTGTCCGCCGTTTCTTGCGGCTGCGCCGTCACCAATGTGGTGGCCTTCTTGTCTTACCGCCCTCAGGCGCAAGAACTTGACCATATTCTGGTGATTTTCAACGATATTCCAGATTTTTTGTTGGTTGTGTCCCAATATCTTCTTGATTCTTGCCACCATCTTTGGTGCTGATTGATAACGTCTCGTTTATTTGTGATATGTAAAGAAACACATTGTCGATATTTGGTTTCGTGTGAAACTCTAGCAAATATATTGAAATATCAGATTGCATGGCATGTTTTTATTTATATCGCAATATGTCTGCACATTCCCCAACTATCCCCCGCTGTTCTTGATATTTCTTGATTATGCAGAATCAAAACCATACCAAAAAGTCACACCACATACCACCATATACCACCTTGTTTGTTTGTTCAAAGATTGCTGACTTTGTAAAGCCGATCAATTTGCTGGTAAAGCAATTTTTTGCTGGTGAAAACCCACATTTCATCTCTAAAATCCGATTCTTTGGCTATATAAATACAGCATCTTTTTGATGGTAAACCCTCGGTATTTTGTGTTTGGAACCAATTGTTTGACGGGGTAATCCTTGAACTTTTGTTGCCAGTTTTCACCAGCTGAGCTGTAAGCAGGTGGTGGCTCTCGTTGGGCAAAATGGCCTTCACCCGGCTGAGGAGGTTCTGCGGCGCATGCGGCGGCTGCGCGCCTTCGGCCGGGCGCGGGGGAGCTCGGAGGGGCTCGGGGATGGACATGGCAAACAATTTGGGGCTTCCATGTTTGGATGATGTTCTGTATCCTGTATCTAATTATTTTAATTTGCCATCCAAATGGCCCAGAGCCGCGCTCTGCGCTGAGTGGCTGAGGCCATGCTACTTGCGCTTGCTTCCAGCTGGCCGCGTCACCGATAGGACTTGGTCTGGGGACTTGCCACATCGTGAAGTCTGTATTTCACAATTAGAGCTGAACTTATTGACACTGCCATGCCATCTAATTCTACATATATTTGTTTGTAGTTAATTGCAAGTGTATCCCAAAGTTCATCTGATCCTCTTCATTTTAATATATTAAGTACCTCTGACCTCAGGATCTTGCTGCGGTGCTGCGATGTGGGGATCGCCTGTGGCCTTCTTTTGACCATCTTGGCCCGTGGCCTCAGCTGGGGGATCATTCCACTGTGATGGCTGTTGGTTAAGAACAGCTGGTGAGTAAGTCCCCATCTTAGATATAGCTGGGCTGGCTTAGGCTTATCCCACATGCTTATTTCATGTTATTTTACGGAAAATGGCGTATACCTCCTAGCTATTAATAGCAATTTGAATATCATATTTTAATTAGGAAATCTGTGACGAACCAACGGATCTGGAAATGCCATATTTTCATCAAACAAACCCACACACCCACATTAGGCCCAAGGCTTTGAGACCGGCAACCTGCAAGTTTCCCAGGTTTTTGGGTGAAAAAATGTGGTTGAACGTTGAACGTTGAAACTCCTAGATTTGGGGATAAATCCATGTAGAAACCCATGGTCTCCTGTAGATTTCTCTCTCGAATTTCCCAACAGAACCAATCCATTGACTGTTCGGCGACGCTGCGAGTTTTTTGTGTCTCCAGTTTCAAGGCTCGAGTGGCTTTTCTCACCAGGTTTCATGGAACCAGTGGAACTAGCTTGATGCCAGATCTTTGACATGTCATAATTTCATTCACATCACCATGAAAACCCACCTTGTCGATCCTTGCCCGAAAATTCAGTATAGAATGTATAGATGAAGTGGAAGCCAGAGGCACCATTTCCCATTCCCAACGGAGGAGTTTCTTACATGCCAAGTTCATCCAAATTCATCCAAGTTCATTTCCATTCCCAACTAGAGAAACTCTTCATGTTTCCCAAGTTCAACTACCACTTTTTTTTGTTGCTGGTTTGGAACATTTTTTTACTTTTCCCATCATATTGTGAATTTCATGATCCCAGCTGACGAACTCAACTGGTGCACAGCCTGATGCGTGCCATCCCAGCCGCCTGGATCCGTGGGGGTACCTCCAAGGGTCACTCAGATGAAGTGAAGCGGAATGACACCCGGAGCGGGATGGCATATTTCGGCCTATACATATACAGTGTATAATATAGAATGGGCTAGCGCCCGGGTGCCGCCAACCCGCATTCCTGTCGGGGTTGGACAATAGGAAGGAAGATCATATTTGATAGTTGATTTGGATCTTGAGTACGAATACAAAGTGTGAAAACACGGCATGGATCCTTTAGGTCTGAGGAATATTCAGCTAGAGGTGTCAGAAAAGTTACCACAGGGATAACTGGCTTGTGGCAGGCTTGAACGCCCTAACAACAGATGGCTATGGAGGCAAACGGCAGGCTTGAACGCTCTGACAACAAGATGCCTGTGGCCAGAGTCGAAGCTGCCGTGAAGAATTTTAGGGGTTTGAAGGCTGGCAAACGGCAGGCTTGAACGCCCTAACAACAGATGGCTATGGAGGCAAACGGCAGGCTTGAACGCTCTGACAACAAGATGCCTGTGGCCAGAGTGCTTGGTTGAATCTGCCGCGAAGCATTTTAGGGGTTTGAAGGCTGGCAAACGGCAGGCTTGAACGCCCCCTAACAACAGATGGCTATGGAGGCAAACGGCAGGCTTGAACGCTCCAACAACAAATGCCGGTGGCCAAAGTGCCTGGTCGAAGCTGCCGCGAAGCATTTTGGGGGGCTTGAAAGCTGGCAAACGGCAGGCTCGAACGCCCTAACAACAGATGGCTATGGAGGCAAACGGCAGGCTTGAACGCTCTAACAACAAATGCCTGTGGCCAGCGTGCCTGGTCGAAGCTGCCGCGAAGCATTTTAAGTGTTTGAAGGCTTGAGTGCCGGGGAGCTGCCGGCCAGAGTGCTTGGTCGCAGCTGCCGCGAAGCATTTTAGGGGTTTGAAAGCTGCATGGCAAACGGCAGGCTTGAACGCCCTAACAACAGATGGCTATGGAGGCCAACGGCAGGCTTGAACGCTCTAACAACAAAACCCCGTGGCCAGAGTGCCTGGTCGAAGCTGCCGCGAAGCATTTGAAGGCTGGCAAACGGCAGGCTTGAACGCCTTGACAACAGATGGCTATGGAGTGCCTGGTCGAAGCTGCCGCGGAGCGTTGTAGGGGCTTGAAGGCAAGCCGACAAAAACAAGTTCCACACTTGCGGTGGTCCCAGGCTTCCCCCCTGCCTTGGCGAAGGCAGGGGTCGGCGGATATATGTATATGATATTATATGATATATATATATATATATCCAGGTATATATATATATATATATGTTTCTTAACATCATAAACGAGAATATCACCAACACGGCTATGGATCAAAACCTCATAAGTAACATTTTTAGGGGATGAACATCCATTTACAAACAATTTTCATGTTTACCAGGTTACATGCTTTTGCCCATATGCCCTCGGTGACAGCTGTACAGTCAGTTGCTTAAAGTTTCACTTGGGCACTTTACACTCGGGCTTGCACTAGGGGGGCCCTGCCAGTTACTACTAGATTCTATGCAACTGGCATTTAATTAATGCGACTTTGAGCAGTACTTGGAGCCTACCCCACGTCGAAATCCAGAGGCATCTTTTTCAAGAAGGGCCACCTGCCGCCTTGTGGTGTTGAACGTGATCGTTTGATCTTGGCGGCTCTGGGCAGCCCGGACTGCTGCAGACGTCTGGGAAGTGGAGACCCACATAGAAAAACCCGCATTAAAATGTGCATTTTGGCGCATTGAAATGAAAAAAAATGGTGTGGAACATGATGGGAACATGTATCATAATTTCTTGTTTGGAACATTCCCGGAACATCCCTTGAAACCATGTCATCCATCTCAATCCATATCATTTGTTGTCCTGTTTAGGGCCACGGCTGCCAGGATCCCTCTGGACTGCAGCTCAATGGTGTTGGTGGGGGTATCTCTTCGACAAGCAAGGCTTGGCAGATGTGGCCAGGAGGATCTCTCCACACGGACCTCTTAGTTTTGGTAGCTTCGTCAATGGGAGATAGCACTATTGTTGTCATTAAAGTATTCATTAGTATATATTATATATATATTATATTATTTTATTGTTACTACTAGTAATATTCTGGTACCAAAAAGACGGTGAAAGTGGTAGTCGCATCAGTCGTCACACTCTCTGCCAGGTTGTGATCATTTCCCAGTCCGAGCGATTCTCGGCTGGCTGGGAGGTCCCCGTTAAGTGAATGGAGTTTTTTTTGACGGAAACATCATCTATAAATGATGGAATATGATGGATATAATGATGGATTTTCCATTATAATGATATAAATCCATATGGAATAAATGATGGGAATATGATGGATTTTCCAGCCATGGAGCTGATTACCAGAGGGTTTTGTTCAACCAGAGGCTATGGTTGACCAATCCAGGAACATCTTCCAAAGGGACTAGCTGGATTTGTCCCCAGCTGCTGGGCGAGGTGAAGGTTATGACGTTGATTACCTCTTTGGTCAAGTTGAGATCAAGGACCCATGGCATCCCGTGGCAATGCTGTCAGATCATGGGGCATGCCACGATGGTCAAACTTTAAGACTTTAAGACCCTGCAGATTTGTTTTCTATATTTTTCTGTACATGTCTGAAGAATAAAGGGTTGGCCAATTTTTGTCTTTCTTTTTGTAATGTTTGGCCCATGCCCAGCATGCCCCGTTCAAAGTTGACAATGTTGGAGTCCGTTCCAGAGCGGATCTAGGGGATCTGGACCGTGCTCCAGTGCTCCCGCGCTGTTGGGGACACCCCAGCCTTTCTGAAAACATCCGCCAGGAGAGACTGGTGAACTGGGATGGAGCCTTGGTTTTTGAGTTCTCCATATCCCCGATGATTCGGCAAGTGATGCCTTGAGATGCCCGATTGGTGTCTCCATGCGCCAAGGTAGTTGTGGAAACCTCTCGGCTGGCGTGGGGCTGTTTGCTCTCGCGGAAGGCTTTGTGAAACCCAAACCAGGCAGATAGGGTAAATGTGCGGAGCAAATCCATGATCCAAGGATGCACGAATGCTGGTCATTCTTTGCGGTATCAACCATCAATTTGTTCTTGAGGTAATTATATACTCCTGCAATTTTGACCCTTTCCATTTTCACCTTTGACGGCAAAGTGCGGTTGCAGATGGTTCGGCTTTTTGTTTGCACGTTCGGCTGTCCTTGCAGTGTCAATTGAGTATTCTTGAATATCACATTCGTTATAGTTTCACTCAGCACCCCCGGGGCACTCCCGGTTGGCTTTCCATCATTTTCTTCCACTCTCTGGCCTGACCTGCCAGGGAGCACAGAAGTGCGGGTTTGGCAAGTCAACCAGGGCTACGGCATGAAAGTGCACGTTCCAGCCGGTGTGGATGCCCCGTTGGAGATCTTGGAGGCCGAAACGTGGGTGTGGAAGGGTTGGCAATGGAACTTGGCATAAAAGTGTCAGCCCAAAATGGAGTAGTTCAAAATCATTGGGCCATATTGAGCCTCAAAATTGAATAGAATAGAATTGGACGATTTATAGCACTAAACATTGCCAATTTTTTACAATGTTGTAGCGGTTTGGACCTTGCCACGGTGCCGGAACTCAACAGAGTTCTCCTCACCAAACCGATTGGACAGGAGACGAATGTGGAGCCGGATCTGCTGAATTTGGCCGGCATACCAGGCCTGGAAGTTATATCAATTTACCAGGGGCAGGGGGAAATCATGAAAAAATACATGGAAAGCTGCAATGAAACTGATGGGCTCTGATGCCTGGGAGGTCGCGAACCACCTGTGTATGTGGAGGTTTTAGAGCCACATGTTGGGAAGCCTTTGCTGCCCACAGGTGCAGAGGGCTTGGGGGGATCACCGACGTCATTTTTCAGGAGTGAACTTGTAGTAAACACTAGTCTATCCATTGGTTAGGAGCCAGCAAAGGAGCTAGGACTATCCATATTCCCCACTAAATGGAGAGCCAAGGAGTTACTAGGAGTTTCCCAACAACATGATAGCCAGACCAGACCGTTTTTTGGCACTCAATTTTTATCAATTCCTTTGTGGGTTCGGAATTTCTGCAGGGATCCACAATGATCCACAAGTCCCACTTCATCTGCAGGCAATGCGGTGGACACCCTCCAACTGTCAGATGGACGCAGTGTGAATGCTACCCTGGTGACAGCAGGTGCCAGTCCGAAAAAAGTTAGCAAAGGCCTTGAAGACAAACAGACTGTTGGAATGTCACAAACTGGACTTGTTTGGAATATCTTATGGTAGAACATTGAGAAGACTTAATCCTTCAGTTGGCAACAGAACTTCTAGCTGCTATCCAACAAGGGAATCAGAAAGAAGTCCCTGACATTTTTCTCCAAAGAATCTTCAACTATCACCAGACATTTTTTGTTGAAACTTATCATAACCCCATTGGAAGCTTTGACCCCAGCTCGTCCCCATAGTCTCGTGGCCTCAGGTAATCCAACGGTCTTCATTCCGGCGGCTGCGGCCGGACTTGAGGGGACCGTGACACGGTTGCACTGGTTACATCAGATACCTCAAGGATACCTCAAGGCATCACACATGAGTCTTGGACCAAACATGACAGGTGCAAACGGTGCAAAGCATTCACGGCATGAAATCCAGTGGCAAACCCACTACCCAGTGCCATAAACCTATGGGGATGGCATCCGTCCCTGGAATTCCTCGATGTTTGACGGCACCATACTGGATATTGACATATACGATACATAATATATACATCATCGAAGCCTGTCATTGACCCTATGTATAGATTATGTGTATATATATATATATTGGTTACATACATACATAATTATATATATATAACTATAACACCGTAGAGGCTTAACCCCATCCCCATCCCATTGGTTTCAGGAGTTGCCCAATGCCATGGACTACGCCTCACTGCTGCCCTTCATCGACGAGCTGCGGGGCCTGGCCGCGCCGCTGCTGGGCATCCCGCTGACGGACCAGCCGCGGGTGGCGCTGGTGGCACAAGCGCAGCAGTACACGAGCAGCGCGGAGGAGCTGGTGACAGTGGAGGTCGGGGATCTCATGGAGATATTTTTACAAATATCGGCCATGATATCAAGGACATAGTTAGAATAATGCATGTACATGAAAAATCATGAAAAATCTATCAAATGGATAAGATATGATAAGATAGATCAATCAGCATACATTGATTGTGGGGATGCTGATTGCTTGTGGCAATTTCAATGGGAGATTTGGCAGTTTGATGTGGTGACCTGAAGGAACCAAACAGATCGGCCTAAAATGGTAGTCTCTTCCCACATAAAAAGCAGCTTCCTGGCAAAGCCACCAGGCACCCCACAAAAACCAGCAAAAACCATTGACATTGTAGCTATAAACTATGGTTTGCTGGCTGCCACCCTGACATTTTTGCTAGTCATTTTTTCTTTGCTGGCTCCCATTTCTGGCTTGACTCACTATTTTACTAGCCACATTTCTATTCTGTTCGGGAAAAGAATCAGTTTCAACGCTGGATAGAATTAGATGATGGGAGGAGCTAGAACTAACCATCTATTTTTTGAGGTTGAAACCCATGGTTTCCTGTAGACTTTCCCAACACAACCAATCCATCGATAAATTGATACCCATACGAGATTCCGTCAAAATTTGCGTCGAGAAAATATGTATTGGAATGTGCATCGACTGTTTGTTTTTGCATGACACCTCCTAAAACGATAGGGGACTCACAAAAAAACGATAGGTTTTGCCTTGCACGTGTCGCATTTGTTGTTTAAATCACGAGGGTATGGAGCGTCTATGCGTCCTTTCGTGCAGCCATCGTAGAGATCCCGAGTATTCAATTGATATTCGTTATTGTGTCCCCAGCTTACATCCCAATAGCCGCCGGTAATCTAGCATAGCTATGGACAATGGCCCATTAAGTTCGCTGATTTACCTGTGAAATGGTGATTTTCCATTTGTTCTAAATCTCCAGAGGGTAATCTATCCAATATCCACCCTTTTTCATCCCCAATGAAATATCTCCAATTCTATTAAAGTTGGCAACCTAATAGTAAACCTACCATTTAATTGGGGATGTTGTTGTACCGTAAATCTGGTGAAATGGGGATGGGATGCAGAAATTCATGGGCGCTTTCCCACATCCCAACGATCTCCAGCCATTGTGGGTCAGGCCATGGATCTTTTGGCGCGGATCAGCACGCCCGGCCGCCACTGGGCCCATGGCTGATAGCTGGGATCATCGAAATTTCATGGGGCATTTTCCAGCATTTCTGGAAAAATAGATACCCTCTGGTAAACGTTTACATAACTATATGGAAAATCACCATTTTCAATGGGAAAATCCACTATAAATGGTCATTTTCAATAGCTATGTTAATTTACCAGAGGGTAAGCATCGCACCAATGTATGGTTTTATGATATATTTGATGCTTCAGTTTTGTGGCTCCAGCCCATTCCTGCCCCAATTGGGCCCCTAGATTTACACAGCCATGTGTTTTGTCCAGCTGCATGGTACTGAGCATCACGGTAGCATGTGACAGAAAGTCTCTTAAGCCTCCACATGCTATTCTCAGTGACTTCTCAACCGCCCAGCGTAGGCTTTATGGCACTAGCTTCACCAACTATGGGGTTGCCACAAATCACTGGTCTTGATGGTTTTTGATGGTTTTTGGTACACCACATTGATGCCTCTGCAAGCACCATGGCACTTGAGGTATTCATCATGCCTTCACTGGCACTGGAACGATCGCACTAGCATGTGCGGCGCAGGTGCTTCGCCGTAGTGGATGCGCTCCCTTTCTTTGTTCATTTTCATGGGGGAAGATATGGGAAACTTATGGTAACATATATATATATATGGAAATATAAGTTTCAAGACCGTATGCACTTCTCATATTTGAAACAGGCCAGTACTGGAACGTCATGATGACGTCAATGGACTCATGTTTTGCACTGCATGGGGAAGGCATTGCTACGGACTCTCTGGGGTCTCAAAGCAGATGCAACCTACACGGCTTCACGGCAACACGCATTCCCTACGCACTGGCCAGCGAAGCTGTGGCCCATCTGCCACCAGTCCATGGTGAACCCCACCAGGTCATTCCATAGCATCCCATGCGTCCCTGCAACACAAGGTGGAGGGCAGTGTGCCCTACCAGTGCATTCCAGATGCTCAAAGATCACAGAAGATCCGCATTGGTCATCCTGGCGGTGTCCCCTGGCACTGATGATACTGATGTGAGCTGCTGCTTTTGGAATTCAGGTGAGACCCCAGGTTGAAAAGCCGGTGATGGCCATTGAAGTACAGTCGTATTGTGAAAAACTACGTACATGTATACTGTATAAATGCACATTATCTTCAGATATGAAGAATGCCAATTTTGGGGTACCAAACTCTGACCGATACCAATGTTGACCGAGAAGGAAATTGCCAACAGCGCATTTGGCGGCTCCACCACGTGCCACCTGCATGCTTCAAGACTTCTTTGGATCAGGATGCAGTTGAATTAGAATCACTGTAGGAGACGCAGAAGTATTGGTGCTTCCCAAGTCTTTGGCTTATGTCTTCAGTTGTTGGTTTGAGTTTGCCACTTGTCACCTTGCACCGATCATCCGATCATCAATTCGAGAGACATGCAGACCACAATATTCAGCTCAAGATATAGCAGGCATCCAAATGTACGAGTCTTCAGTCTATTGGGAGTGGCAATGAGTGCTTTTTCCCCCCCAACATGTGACAACCCACACAGAATCTATGTGACATATGTGAGAGTAGCAATACATGTAGAAACTGCTTTTGGCTTTTGATCCTGAGATCAAAGTGTTAGAAGACTCCAAACAAACACAATGCCATGCAGATGCAGGTGACGAGTCTGTGTTCTTAAAACATCTTAAAGCTAGCAACAGCAACCTCCTTTTCTACATTGTTTTATGGCTGGCCTCTATGATGATTTGCCGGAGCCACAGACGAGCCAGACAGCTGAAAGCTCTGTCGGCGATGTGGAGAAAGACTTGGACGTTGGAAGTGGACCATGTGGACCTCGACCAGAACATGCTGGAGGTTCCAAAGTTTTCAAATTGGATGATGTGATCCTTCAAGATATCCTGAGTTATTTGGCCTTACCTGACCTGGGCAACGCCTTGCCTGCTGTGTGTCCCTTGCTGCTCTTTCTCCGGAGCGGCTGGCCTGAGTGGCGTCGCTTCGTAAAGCCACTGCGCAGATCCAAGATACGACTGACGCAGCTGCTGAACATCCATTCCAGGAGCCTGGATTTGCTGCTGTTTTCTGGTATTTTTCCCGGTTAACCCAAAAAATGGGGAATGTATTGGAATATTTTGATATTTTTTTGGCGGGTCCTGGATCTGCAAATCCAAGAGGAGCCTGGAGGAATTGGCACACGTGTCTGAATGTTTGGGAAAATTTGCAGTCGAAGGTTTTCAAGGATTTCGCCCCAGATTGCCCAGCTTTTCCCCTGATTTGCATGCATTGAGTTACTGTGAACTGCCCATCCCTCGAGTGGTGTGGTCGCTGCACAGTGAGGGTCTATCGCGATGGCGGAACACCTGTGCTGCGGTGATCGATGGGGAGTTTGCCTTGTTGCCACCCTGGGATCGTTCGCCGCGCAAGGGCTTTCTGCCGCGGAAGGTGCGAATTCTGCTGGGCGTCAGCTTGTGGCTACCCCCAAATGAAGTGGCGGCGGAGTATTCCTTTCCTTCCTTGTACCTAAATGCAGCCCTTCTTGAGCCCGAAAAGTTTGAAGCTCTAGCTGAACGTCATCCTTCCAATCCACCATGCCTGGCAGCGACTTGTGAAGCGCTACTCTTGCGCATGATGCCTGGTACGGCTTCCACATTGGAGGAGTGGAGCTGGCGATTCTGCTTTGGACCTGAGGGCTATCGACATTCAGGACATGGAGACTTGGAAGGCTACAGGCATGAGATTGGAACCCCCGGGCAGCGCAGGTGGCGCCCGCCGGAGCTTTGTTTTGCCGGGCTGGAGGAAAGCGCCCAGAGTCTGCGATTGCTGTTACGCAGTCGTCGTTGTATAGGGCTGTTGGAGTGACAGAAAAGAAATGCGTCTGCCCACATCCTGGGCTGTTTTCGGCAATTCACATGAATGCTGAATGGTTTTAGCAGCTTTGCACCACAAAGGGCAGATGGGCTATCTGACCCTCCAAAATAATCAAGACTGTATCAGGTTTTCACATTGTGCTTCCATGTTATTCTTCCTGTAGAACAGACTGAAGGGAAAAATATGGAAAAAATGTGGGACACCTCCTTATTTGCTGGTAAAAACACCAGCTAGTTTCCGGCTCCAATTTTGAGTTCCACAAAAATTAATCCAATGAAAACATATGAACACCCATGTCTGGTTGGTGGTTTGGAACATTTTTTATTTTCCCCAATAGTTGGGATGATGATCCAATCTGACTATACCATATTTTTCGGGATTGAAACCACCTTTTTCTATGTATATCCTCCATTATCCTCCTATACATCACATGACCATCACACAGCACTTTCCCACCATTTCCCAGCCGTTTTTTCCCACGGCTCCAGGTCATTGAAGTGCGCGCGGACGTGCAACGAGACGTGGATGGCGCTTGGCATGCCTCGGGCGCCGGCTTCGATCGAACTGCCAGGCCGGAGATGGCCGGAGACGGGGGAACGGACATGAACGGACATCGAAGAATGGGAGATGTCTATGGATGATTATATATAATTATATGATATTCTATTATATGATTATATGTTTGATCATGATTGATCATGATTGATCATGATTGATCATGATCTATCCAGTAATCAACAAGGAATATGTATGTATCACCTATATATATATATATATACATCTTTATCACTAGTTGCATTTTGTCGGATTTGATGGGTGAATATCAGCGGAAAGAGGGGAAACCTTGGGTGATTCAACCGCTTGGAGGAGGTGAACCCTGGAGATGCAACATTGTCCGCTCATTTGGATACGGGTCAGAAGGCACCAAGAGGGGTTTGTCTATGATGATGTGTAAATATCATTGAACATGTAACCCCCATAATAATTAATAGTAATTATATTTATGGATTATTATGGTAAATACCCGAACAATAGATAGATCATGATAAATCTCTTGTAAATGGTATGGTATCGGTTGAGCCCCTATGAACCACCACTCCTAGTTGGCCCAGACATGTCCGGGAAATTGTGGCTGTAGCACTGGGCTAATGTTACGTGGCAACGGCCGAACTGAACTGGCGGTCAGAATTGGGTACTCCCTATGTGTTCCGAAACTTTCAATACGACCTGGTCGACCTCAACTTTCATCAACCTCAATGGTTTCCACGCCATTTCTTGACTCAACTGACTCAACTGACTTGCGCATCCCCAGTGAGATGCGCTGATTTCCACCTTGTTCCAGGTACTTGATGCGTGGAGAGGTCTTCATTCCTCACGCCGCCAGAGCTCCATGAGTTCAGCCGATGTACAAAGATGGTCGAACTTTTCGTCGTTGCGTTGAAAAGAGGCTGGTTGGTCGTTTCAAAACAAGAAAACTGGGATTTGAAATGGCCAAAAAGATCAAAAAGGGGAATGTCGCGGGTATCTTACGGCTGAATACTGGCGTTTTTTTTTTTGGTAAAATATGTTTCATTTTTTAATCATGGTTAGGATGACGAATTATTGCCATGGGTTGAAACCACTAATGAGGTCGAGGTGCGACTTTACAGGGAAAACATGGACTTCAACTAGCAAGGATCAAACAGGATCAAACATGATGATCACAGATTGTCTTTGCAAATGTTCGAAATCCAACAACAACAACAACAACAACAACAACAAGAACAAAAACAACAAGAACAACAAGAACAACAAGAACAAGAAAAAGAACAAGAACAATAACAACGCCAAATACAGCCAAAATTGTCAAGTTGATTATGGTTGATTGCCATCAAACTGGGAAGGAGGTTGGTACAGGAAGTGGCATGTAATCGCTTGTACCTGGGACACACTGGAGACAAATTTATGTGTATATATATAATATACACTGCACACTGTACACTGTACACATTGATACCTCTGTGTATGTATATATATATATATACACATACATAGAGTCTTAGAGGTATACTCACGCACTAGGAATTTACATACAAATATATCTATTTATACACATGGATACCGCAGTTCTGGGGGGCCGCAGATCTGGTCCGAGGTTTGGCCCTCATTGTCTTCCTGGGTCGCCGCATGGCGCTGTCAAGCAGGGACCAAACTCCTTTCTATTTAGCTAATACCAAATATATGATAGACAACAATTATATGATATAGTAAAACTTATTAACAATAGTAATATGCAATAACAATAGTAATAATAAACTATAGATATAGATACGATAGAGGTTTATATTGGCGGCCGAACCCTGCCCTCAACCAGAAAGAGATGCCAGTGACCCGATGGACCTGTCATCTGAGGGACCAGTCCTATGGATCATTGCTGGTTGGACCTACCTCTCTCTGCAGGACGACTGTTCATCAAATGGTACCCAGTGATTGGACGAAATGCGACAATGGGGCCAGACACACAGATACACCTTCCTGAAAGATTGATTGACTCAGGAGTTCCATCAGAAAAAGATCGATAAACAAATCCTCCGGGTGTTTTTGGATACCAGTTCCATTTTTAAGTTCCATTGCAGACCATTTTTCAATGGCTTCAACCCCCCAAACCGTTGGCTTTTTGCAGGCTGTGTCGGGTGACTTTCTGGGACTTCAGTCAGATTCCAACCTCGTGGAGGTGCTCCGGCCCACCATGGCCCACCATGGCCCACCCAAAATGAACAGATCCATTACTGTACTGAACCAGGGTTTCTTGCAGGATATTTGACATTAGGGGGAGGATTTTCCATAGACCGCGGGATGAACTGAATGAACACTGAACATCCATATAGCAACCAGCTATATTTTGGTATGCGTCAAGGTTGCAGCAGCTTCCTAAATCATGGGGCTTCATATCCCCAAAACGCTCAAGTTTGGTGTGGGTCTGCCCAATCAGGGTATATACCCCAAACGTTGATTTTTATGGCGTAAAATGATGGTACCCTCTGGTAATTTAACATAGCTATGGAAAATCACAATTTTTAATGAGAAAATCCACTATTTCTATGGCCATTTTCAATAGCTATGTTAGTTTACCAGAGGGTAACACACTATTTTCACCAACCCATATTGTCGCACAATGTCGCACATGTCTAGTCTCTGGTGGCAGGTTGATGCACTGATGGCACTTCTCAGCTTTTTGTCGCGGAGCCATCCCAGGCAGGCTGTGCCCGCTGCTGCTGTTGAGGCGGTTGAAATGCTGCAAATACAAGGCGCAGTTCCAGAGGAATCCCCAAAAAGAATCAAGTAACATCAAAATCCAAGCTGATTTTAAAGTCATTGCTTGTGACTGATGTGACTGTACGACATGTTTTTCTACTCGGCAGTCGTTGCAGGCAAGCCTTATTGGTGCTGCGCAACATGGCGAAGAGTTCCGGTGGAGGGTATGTCACGGTATGTCGGTTGTGGTTCGGTTGAACAAACCCAAGTAACTTGATTCGGGGGTGAGTTAAAAGGCATGAGATCCAGCATGTACATGAGACTTTTGGTAAACCCTATTTGCACCAGAACTGTTGTCGGAATTCTGGCCAAGATGTTCAAACCTTGTAATTGAAACGACGTAGATTAAGTGTGGTGATATATGGAGATGCTGGAAAACATTTGGGCAAACCTCAGCAAAATCATGTGCAAACATTGTTCTCAAAATGGGACTAGATGTATGATTCTGTTTGACAGCAGAAGTCAGCAAATGGTTTTTGGCTAGGGCAATCATGTATGTCCCACTTACAAGTTGCTAGGATTATATGGAATGTCGGATGTCGTTTATTGCTAGGATTATCTATTAAATGTTATTTATATATATGTTATATATATATAATATTATATATTATCCCTCAATTCCTAAGATGTGGCTGGAGGATTCAGTCGAACTTGGGCGTCTTATGTCAGGTCTTGGCCCCGAAAACCGAGGTTTTTTCGCCTTTCGAAAGATGTTGGGATGCGGAGTCTGCAAGTACTACGGCTCCCCCATGTGGCGCTCCTTTGATGCCCTGGCGGTTCACTACTTCACACAGCTCTTCAGCTGCAGTTCAGGATCTTGGAATGGATAGTTTTAAGCTGCCGATGCGAAGAGTACTGCCATTTCAAGATTTAAAACCAGAGGCTTCAACATTCAATGACAATTCAATGACAATTCAATGGCGATTCAATGGCGATTCAATGGCAATTCAATGGCAATTCAATGGCAATTCAATGGCAATTCAATGGCAATTCAATGGCCATCAAATTGTCACTTAAATCCACCAGACATCCAACCGTCAGGCCATTGGTGAACCGCAGATCCTGCTGGGCGCATCGTTTGCCAGCGGTGTTTCACCAGTTCTCTGTCTTGGCGACCTTCGTGGTCCTTGGCCTGGAGATTTGGTCTGCTTCAAAAGATGAATTTTACATGAAACAAATAGGGATTGAATGGGATATGAATCGGAATATATCATGGGATATAGAATCAACTACTATGTTTTGATCCTATGAATTGGTCTGACCATAAGGGAACAGCCTCAAATCCACCAGTTTCTCATCATCTTTCCTGTTAAAATTGGTCACTTGGGGGTTTTGACCATCCCAGACACATCTGGGTTGAAATCTATGGCCCAGGGTGGGTTTCTACTACCAGATGGAGGTGTCCCTTTCGGGTACCCCCAGTCATCATCCATTTATAGATGGATTTTCCCATGGAAATAAGTCATCCAGCTTTTGAGGTAACCCCCAATAATGGAAACCTTGATATAGTTGAAGCAGTTGGGCCCCTGCTGCGGTGCTCCAACGTTAGGTGGAAGTGATTCTGCCCTTCTTGATTTGGAGCCATTGGCCATGTCGCATCTTTGCGTGGATAGGCGGGACCCACAACTTGCTCATCGAGTACATATATATATATATATGATATAATTGCATATATAATGATATATATATATAATGATATATATATATATACTGCATAACTACTTTTATATTCATACGTATATGTATGTATATGTATATGTATATGTATCTGTATCTGTATATGTATCTGTATCTGTATATGTACATGTATATATGTATATGTATATGTACATGTATCTGTATCTGTATATGTATATGTATATGCATATGTATATGCATATGTATCTGTATATGTATATGTAAATGTATATGTATCTGTATCTGTATATGTATATGTATATGTAAATGTATATGTACATGTATCTGTATATGTATATGTATATATGTATATGTATATATGTATATGTATATGTTATCAACGGTAATATGTGGCTTCAACTTCAACTTGATCAGATGTATGGAATCGGAAAAAGAGTGCGTACACAAGCATGTCGGCATACCTCAACATCAGGAACTCTACATCCTCGTGGTTGAAAACTGGAAGTAGCTGACTCCTCTACCTCCTCTCAGCCTCAAATAGAAATAGACAAGATGCGGTCAACCTGTGCCAGGGTTCAATTCCTTGAATGCCATGATCAACACCACTGGGAACTATGGCTTCATCGGTGCCTGGAAGAAAAACTGTTGTTCAAAGATGTTGAATGATTTGCTTCAAATTCATGTATTGATTGAGGTTAGGCGCTGTGGTTCCTGTTTGGTTTTGCATATCAAGCATCCTTCAATACCAAAGCCAGTTTGGCACAAATTGACTGAACCGATGTATTGCCCCTTTCCTTCGACATTCCGCAGATGCATCTTTGTGAGGCAGGTTGAGCCTGTGCCACGCCGGTTCGTCCTTCCAAGCGGTCATGCACGAACACAGCCCGCAAGGGCTTTTCCGGCGCAGACCGTTAAAACTGGTTGGATGTTGTTGAGCACAGGGAGCGTCGTAGTGCTGGTTCTCCAAGCTCTCATTCAAAGGTTCCTTCCTGGCTTCTTCATGAACAGGGCAGTGAGGAAGGCTGGGCAAAGGCTGGAAAGGACAGAGCCCGCCCCTGCACGGCCGGTCGAGGAGGAATACATCAAGGACTTCATCAATTCACCTCAACGTAAAGCTTTGAGCACCCCTTCCTTCTTGGTGGTCAGTGGTTCCCAAGGCATTGGGAAATCAACCATGCTGAACAATCTCATGTGTGAGCATGTGAAGAATGGCAAAAGCGTGCTCCCGCTCAAGATGTCAAGCCGTCCTGGTGAGGACTTGAAACTCAATGAAGCGCTGCCCAAAGCATTGCAAGCAGTAAATTTGCCGCGATACTACCCAGAACAAGTGGAGTATATGCTGCAAAAGGTGAACGAGACGTGCAAGCGCCGAACAGGCAGTCCCGTCCTGGTATACCTGCAACTTACAACCAAAAGCCGCGGAGACAAATTTAGTAGGGATGCCTGTGATGACATTGCTTCCACCCTCGGTGCCTTCGCTCGCAACATCACCTACGACAATGCCGCGTGCAAGTTCATTTTGGAGGTCAGCGTGTCTGCTGTGGCCGACATCATCACCGAAAGGTTTGACATGTCAAGGCTGGTTGTGGTGCGACCGCTGCCTTTCGAAGACTTCACATCTGTGGTCAAGGAGGTGGCAAAGCAGGGAAACGACTTCCGGACGCTGAACAAGGTTCTTGCCGAAGATGACATGGAGCAGGTGTTGAAGCACTACTACATCCGCGTGGGGGGCAACTTGCGCGCCTTGGACTTGATACTGCGAAACGTCTCCAGAGAAGGTCAGAAAGGTGCGGATGCGGTCATCAAGTGGGTTGAGCAGTGGTACAAGGAGAGGGTGGAACCAATTGAAAGGAAATTGGATGACCAGGAAGTGAAGGACTATCTCCTCCAGGTGGCAGGGGCAGGACCCATGGGGTATCTCCCAGAGAGCGACGAAGACACCAAAATGAAGTTGAAGCTTCTTCGTGAGGAGCCAGCAGACTGCGTCCTGAGGAGAACGCAGTCTGCTGGCTCCTCACGAAGCTGTGGCTTTGCAGCGCTGGCATTTCGTCGCCAAGCTCTTTCAAGAGGATGAGCAGAAGTTGAAGGATGCAGGATACATGTGAGCTTCGCCGGTGAAAAAAACTGTGACGCTTGAGATGTTTTGTGGGTGAGTCATCCAAGAGTAATTCCCTAGTATCAATGATACCCAGATACCAGTATCCAAGTATCAACGATACCCAGAACCGAGTATCAATGATACCCCAAACTGAATATCAATGATACCCTGATACCAGTATCCAAGTATCAATGATACCCAGAACCGAGTATCAATGATACCCAGAACCGAGTATCAATGATACCCCAAACTGAGTATCAATGATACCCAGATACCAATATCCAAGTATCAACGATACCCAGAACCAAGTATCAATGATACCCTGATACCAGTATCCAAGTATCAACGATACCCAGAACCGAGTAGATACCGTGATACCAGTATCCAAGTATCAACGATACCCACAACCGAGTATCAATCATTCACCGAACAAGCAACAACAGACACATCGTTTCACCCTGAACTTTTTTAGCCAAACCATCAAACACGGACAAATCGTTTCACCCTCAACTTTTGACAAAAGCATGAAACACGGACAAATCGTTTCACCCTCAACTTTTATAGCCAAACCATCAAACACGGACAAATCGTTTCACCCTGAATTTTTGATAAAACCATCGTTTTAGCGTTCAAAAAACATCAATTTAGGACACTTGTTAAAAACACAATTTTTAGAGCAACAGACCCAAAAACACTTATATAAAGAAATGACGCCTTATAGAATCAAGAATTGAATATGCCCTGCTATATGTATATTAACGGTATGAAGCAAGAAATGGACGAAGACCTTTTTGACCAAATGGCGGAAGCACTACACCAATCCAGCAACAAGCAGACACTTCAAAGTTTTGCCAACGATTTCAGAGGTTGAGAGTTTTGTTTTTTATTGTTTTTGATAGATCTCTTCCACTCACATAGAACACAATGTAATGGCCAAACGTTTTTTCCCAGGTTTTCTGAACACAATGGAGAATCTGTCGCTGCTGGACGATCGCTTTTGGTCCCTGGTGGGGATTGACGTGGACAGATGGCGCTTGACAAAGAGCAGTGCCCTCCTTATTCGTTTACCGGTTCTTTGGCTCGCAGAGCGCTGTAGTTCAACCGCTTATGCAGCTGTAGGCCGTCAACCCATATCAACCAAGGTCTGATTTTTGTTCTCTTAATATGTCCACACTTCATGTCCTAAGTGTGGGTTGGTTTTTGCAATCTGGAAATTCGCGGCCCTCTTTAGCACCGGTAGATTTTCCACCATAAATTGGCATTAGGAAGGTGGCCCTGGGGCCCTGAGGTGGTTGCACTGCTCAGTATCTATGTGATTCTCTCGCTCTTGCCCTTGGCGCGTGCGAGTCTCTTGGCGGCCTTGAAGAAGAATTGATGTGGTTTAGATTGGTTTAGTAAAAAAGGGCGACCCAACAACATGCTTCTCTTTGGGTGAGGTACAGAATGGTCTGCAAGATGGAAGGTTGTTTCCAAGTTTGGATTGTTAACTAATTATCAGCTAATAGCATCAAAACTCATGTTGACACGGCTAGAGCATCAATGACTCTCCTTTGTCATTGTCTCAGAACGACACACACAAGCTCTATTTCCACTCCATACCATTCTGTCAGGCATTTGTTTCTACAATGGGTCCACTTACATATCAAAATGAGGTGACAGTCCTAACCAACTCTTAGGTCCCAGCTATGAGTAGCGACAACCTCGTTTCTGTCCTTTTGGACATCAGTTGTAGCCCATCATTGTAGCGTTGCCGATGCTCCCATTTGCAAGGCAAGGGAAGCGTGGACCTTTCATCCCTTCGCTTGCCGTGCTGGGTAATTGAACGGCTGGAGAGACTGGAAACCTTGCAGCAGCCCTGGAAGTTGGTGAACTACCAAGGACTGCAACACGGGCGAGTACTCGGATATGCTGGATGTGTCTGAAAATGGGCTTATACCATGATATTACCAATATATACATGGAGAAAACACATGATAAATCACTGGATCTTGGGATATCTCATTCCATCCCAATTCATCAATAAAATAGAAGGATCAATAACATATTTTTAACCCAGTGATAGCCTTAGAAGCCAGTGATAAAGTATTCCTGGTGATAGATGGGATAGCCCCAGTCGCCTCGCCGGAAAGCTGGTCGCTGAGGATGTTCAAAGGGGATTTTCCACAAACATGTCGAATCCCTTTACACTAACCGTCACGAAAACCAGTACATCCAGTACCAGAATCATCACTAACCGGTCCTTGGGACGACATAACGCCACTGTTGCCAGGCAAGTTCTCAGGGATGCACGACTTTCGATGGGAGCCCCTGCTGGAGGCCAGTGTGGATGGCGGAAACTCCTGGCGCCAAATTCGCTGGCGCTACAAGTTGAACCAAGGGACTTCAGAGAAGCTTGGCCTGGCCAAAAAATGGGTTTAAGATGGTTTAAGGGTTTGGTTGATGTTGGGTGATGGGGTCAAGTCCCTGCAATGATGGAAGACAGTATCTTTATGCATCTTCTACAATTTGATGATGAGATATTTGAATATATTTGATGATATGTTGATGGGGGCGAACTCAGAACTAACCGAACTATCCCCGGCGGTTTTCGGATCAGCAGCCAGGGGGATTTACACTGCCAAGGTGGGACACTCTTTTTCGTAGCTGCCAAACGCTTTGGTTCCCAGGGCCCACTGAATGTTGAAACATCCTCAAACCCACAAACGATTGAGTTTTTTTTTACGTATTCGAGCGCTAATGTGTAAGGGTAGCTAATCTTGAGATATCATCCAAGTGGTGTCACTGCACTAACAGCAGGGTAGTGTCCTCGAATTCCGCAAGATGACTATGGTATATTATGGTAACATAGTGACACATCCTTTTGAATCCCATGGTCAGACATCAACCTGAGTTCAACTCGATACAACAGAAGCAAGGTGTGGTTGACAATTTCCGTCTTTTGAGGTACCCTCTGGTAAACTAACATAGCTATTGAAAATGGTCATTTATAGTTGAGTTACCCATTAAAAATGGTGATTTTCCATAGTTATGTTAAATTACCAGAGGGTACTGGATTCGAGATTCCAATTTCAGAGGGTTTTATCATCTTCCAAACAGACATGGCCATGATAATTCTGCACACTGAAGTCACTGAAGCGCGGAATTATCAACTCCCTTCCCCCTGGTGTGAAATGACATCCCCCAGAAACCCGGGTTTAGTATTCAATTTCTTCATTCTGGCCCTATTCGAACAGACTTTGGATACTTTGGGATAGTGCGGACTACGAATTCATACATCATTCACGGCAAATTCTTTAGCCGCTAGCCATAAGGTGTTTTCCATTGGCCATTGGATACCCTCCTGTAAACGTTTACGTAGACGTGGAATGATGTGGAAAACTCACCATTTGTAGATCGTTTTCCTCGGAAAACCATGAATTTTCCGCATCTTTTTGATGTTTAAAAAGGGTAAATCATCACAATGGCAAATCACCATGATATTCCCATTCAATCCCATGAAAATCATTCAAAATTACCATTTTTCATGGCTTCACTGGCTCCATGGCTGGGATTTCTCCGGTAAATCAACGATCGCCACAGGCGTGGTGCGGTGCTGTGGCTCCATTTGCCACGCCTGGACTGGCGCGTGTGGTTCCTTCCCTTGGGCGCCAGGC